GGAGTGCAGCAGGCAGTTCCATCAACTGGGTCATCTGAAGACTCATATGCAGACTCACACAGGTGAGAAGTCGTACAGATGCGAGACATGTGGAAGGCAGTTCAGCAGGCTGGGTAGTCTGAGAAGACACATGCGGACTCACACAGGCGAAAAACCGTACAAATGCGGGGAGTGCAGCAGGCAGTTCAGCGAGCTGGGTCATCTGAAGAGACACTTGCGGACCCACACGGGCGAGAAACCGCACAGGTGTGAGGAGTGCGGTAAGCAGTTCAGTCAGCTAGGGCATCTAAAGGAGCACGTGCGGACTCACACTGGTGAAAAACCATACAGTTGTGAAGAGTGTAGCAGACAGTTCAGTGGCCTGGTGAATCTGAAGAGACACATGCGGACTCACACAGGGGAGAAACCGTACAGATGTGAGAAGTGCAGCCGGTCGTTTAGTACATTGTCAGATCTAAAGAGACACGTGCGGACTCACACAGGTGAGAAACCGTACAGATGTGAGGAGTGCAGCAGGCAGTTCACCACAAGCAGCAGTTTAAAGAGACACGTCGTGCGAACTCACAGAGCGCAGAAACCGTACATGTCTTAAAAAGGCAACAAAAGCTTTCGTAAGAGTGCCAACTGAAACACTCCGGCGAAAGACTGTCAGTGTCTTTGTAACGGTTACTGAGTGGCGATGCTTTAAATGTCCTGACTGTTTGATCTCATTGCAGTAGTGTACTCTCTACATCATCGGACTCCACTGTAAAGTTAACAGAAGTGGTGGTTTTATATTACGATTGATGGATGCTCCGTAGCCTGTTGATTAGAGCTAGAGGCCCTGTGTAAAATGACAGTGTAGTGTTAGGCAATAGTTGCATGGTAGGACATCGTTTATTTAACGTCAAAGTGTCATCGTCCGTCTGTTATATAACTTAGTCAATTACATGTACTTTTCTCTGTTTTAGTTTCTGTAAATGCACTAGATCTTTAGCGTTTGGTTACAGTTGGAGCATGTTAGTTATTAATGCATGAAAATGTAATTTGTTACTTTGACAGCAGTTCTGTAAGCTAGATGAGTTAGAGTGTAGCTGTTTGTCAACTTTTTGCATCTCAGTTTCAACAATAAAGCGCGTTAGGTACCTTATTTTTTTGTCATCATCGTTGTTTTTTTTCATGCTGTACCTTTTTCCTACGGATGTTGTCTGATTTCTCATATGCAAATCGATATCAGCCGACGTAACATGGTGCATTCACCATCTTGACCAAGTTGTCCTCTTTTCCTAATTAATAAGTGTGTTGCCCGCTATTCGAGTCATTTTAGATTTTTTGTTTGGACTATAGAGAGTGAAAAAATAGATTTCCTTTTACTCACAATGGATTTTATGTATACTTGTATTAATTTGAACACGTAAGCTTACAACCTATAATACATTTATTCTGAAATGGATGTTGTTCAGTCTTCAAGCATTTATCGACTCGATTTATCGAAATTTTAATTCTTGGTCAGACGCGCCAGACAAAATCTCTCCAAAGTCGCTGTTCAACCACCATGACGTGTTTTGTATTGTGTGCAAAATAGGTTAGAGCTACAAGGCATTGATCGTATTCATGGTTGGTCGTCTCTATTGAGGAATTTACTAACAGCTTTAAAGCTGGGTGTTTGATACATTTTCAAACTAGTATAATGGCCATTTATGAAATTTCATTGAATATGATTTAACAGTATGCCGACACGCAACATCCCCCCATTGTATGCAGACAATCGTCTCTTTGATCTCAGTTTGAACAATAAGATAAAACACCTAACATGCATGTTGTTGTCTTTATCGTTATTGTCCAACTGATTGTATCTTTATGTAATGATGTTATCTGATTCCCTTATGCAAATCGACACATGTAAGAAATAATTTCCTTAGTTTCCTAATCAGGTAAAACCCAGCGGACCGGTTTTATCCACCCACTCAGTCCCTATATAAACGCGTCCCTGACTGCTCTGTTTCTGTCAGTACTGACTCTGCAGCCGTGAGGATCTGTGTCGCCGTGAAAACATCGTGCAGTGCTTTGGAGCGTTATTGCACCTTGGTAAGTGTCGACTATGTTTTCGTTTTCCTATGTTAACCTCCATAAAATGGACGTATTGTTTTTTTTCACGTCGTTGACTACGGACTTGTGTAGGTTAAACTTGGCCGCGAAGAACTTTATGTGTGTCTACATTTGCTTTCCACACTTGTCTATGCTAAGATTGTCAAATGTTTCCTTTTTTAAAATCTGGCCATTAACATACCAAACCATGTGCCCGAAGACAAAAACAGTGTACATGCTATCCGCTATTATACAGTATACACGCTTGTCAATTCCATCGATATGATATATTGCATTCTTCCTTTAGGATGAACAGTTTGACCAACATGGCGGCCAGAGCCGAATCTTACCCGAAACAAGAGGAGGGAGAGAGTGGGCGTGGAGAGAAGGATTCTCCGCGTACCCACAAGTGCGGCGAGTGTGGCAAGGAGTTTCCTAAACGGAATGATCTGAGACGGCACATGCGCACTCACACAGGCGAGAAACCGTACAGGTGTGAGGAGTGTAACGAAAGATTTAGTCTGCTGAGTAATCTGAAGCGCCACATGCGGACTCACACGGGTGAGAAATCGTATCAATGTGAGGAATGCAGCAGGTGGTTTCGTACGCTTTTTAGCCTGAGGTCGCATATCAGGACCCAAAAACTATATGAAAGGTAACGTTTATTCAACAAATATGCGACGCGTTTAATTTTTTTTTCTCTACGCACACTTTAAGCGAACGAGGGGAGAACCTCCCACTTTAGCTTATATTTTTGCATCTCAGTTTCTCAGATATGCCAGACATAATTCCTTATATCCGACAAGGCGTCCGTAACTACACAACCCGGGCAATCAGGTTCGTCACCTTTAACCTTTGCCCTCAATTGGTTTGACCTATGCTGACGCTGAACCGCCATTTTTGAGTCGTGTGTGTGGTGTCATTGTTTTCTCCAATCTGAGGCGATTTCCATCTTACTTCGGCTTTGTATCAACTCTGGGCAGTTTTGAAAGACAGGTAAGACCTTTGTTGACCTCCTACACTCGCTGTGGCGATACCAGGTACTTCGAATCGGCCGTGAGTCGCGTGATACGAGAAAATGTCCTTGACATAGAACAAGGACATTTATATATAATATACAGTGAGTGGTAACATGATAGTTTCAAAAATACATTCCGAGATGTAATGTGTTGATGTGTTTATTAACTACCATCTTTATTATAAGTCTCCAAGTCGGTCTCTTATGTCTGCGAATGATGTTGTCTGATTCTTCTCCATGCAAATCAGCATGGTGCATTCCTTTGTTCCGTAATCAAGTAAATCCCACCGGACCGGTTTTATCCACCCACTCAGTCCCTATATAAACGTGTCCGTGACTGCTCTGTTTCTGTCAGTACTGACTCTGTAGCCGTGAGGATCTGTGTCGTTGTGAAAACATCGTGCAGTGCTTTGGAGCGTCAGTGCATCTTGCTTGGTAAGTGTCGAATTTTACAGTATTTTCTTTATCTGTGACTTCCATGCGGCATCTATTTGTAGATTACTGTATTAATCGTCGGTCGAGCAACTTACTTGGCTATTCATGCTAATCTGGCTATTTGAATCATTATCAACCAGGTTTAACGCACAAACCTAACTATAAATTTCTGTAAACCAAAACCGTTACATGTAACTGACATGTTTAGGTGCATTTGTCAGTATGCAACTGACCCCTTTGAAGCTGATATATTTACTTAAATGCAATTTTGATTTTTTTTTTCATTTCTGCAGAATCTGTAGTTTAACATGGCCACCGGATATGCATCTCATTTGAACGGAGAGAATAGGCGTGGTGAGCAGGATGCTCCGCGTACCTACAATTGTAGCGAGTGTGGCAAGGAGTTTCGTTACCCGAGTCATCTGAAGCAGCACATGCGGATTCACACAGGCGAGAAACCGTATCAATGTGAGGAATGCAGCAGGTGGTTTAGTACGCTGTTTGGCCTGAGGTCTCATATCAGGACCCACACTGGTGAAAAACCCTACACGTGTGAGGAGTGCAACAGGCAGTTCGGTGATCTGGGTAATCTGAACAGACACATGCGGACTCACACTGGTGAGAAACCTTACAAGTGTAAAGATTGCAGCAGACAGTTCAGCATCCTTTATAGTCTGAAAGAACACATGAGAAGTCACACTGGTGAAAAACCGTACATATGTGAGGAGTGCAGTAAGCAGTTTAGCAGGCTGGGTCATCTGAAGAGTCACATGAGGACTCACACTGGTGAGAAACCGTACAGGTGTGAGGAGTGCAGCAAGCAGTTTAGTGAGTTGTCACAGCTAAAGACACATATGCGAACTCACACGGGTGAGAAACCCTACAGGTGTGAGGAGTGTAGCAGACAGTTCAGCAAGCTGGGTAGTCTACAGAGACACATGCAAACTCACACTACTGAGAAACCATACAGATGTGAGGAGTGTAGCAAGCAGTTCAGTCGACTGGATGATCTGAAGAGGCACATTCGAATCCACACAGGTGAGAAACCATATAGGTGTGAGGAGTGCGGCAGACAGTTCAGTGAGCTGGGTAGTCTGAAGAAGCACATGAGGACTCACACTGGCGAGAAACCTTACAGATGTGAGGAGTGCAGTAAGCAGTTCACCACCAGCAGTGGTTTAAAGAGACACGTGCGAACTCACAGAGTGGAGAAACCGGCGATGTCTCAAAAGTGCAACAGAAGCAGTTTAGTCAGTTGTCAAATCTGAAGAAGCACATGCGGACTCACACTGGTGAGAAACCTGTGCAAGGTGTGCAGCGGAAAGTTCAGTCAGCTGGTAAAGAGAAACCAAACACGTGTGAAAATGCAATGAAAACAACGATTTTGTATCACGATCGACGCATGCCCTGTATATATAGTCTGTTTAGAACTGGAAGTAGAATGCAGTGTGTAAAAAGGTGAGAGTGCAGTATTTCGACCATCTGTAGACAAGTTTTCTTGTTGTCACGATCGTTATATGCTCTGTAGTATCGTTATTAGATCTAGACTGAAGTACTTAAGTAGGGTGTACAATACGAATGTGAAGTGTTTGGACAATAGTGACAGAGATTCACGTGGTAAGACAGCGTTCGTTTGACGTCTGTCAATTAGTTGTCAGACCTGGTTGTTTTAGGTACTATTGTGTAGCATGATTTGAGTCAGTAGTGAGGTTTGTAGATCAATTTTAGCAATGTGACATGAGCTCTTATTTACTGTTTTATTTCAGTAGTGTAATCTCTACATGACTAAATTGTAAAACTACCAATGCAGGCCCCGTAGCCAGTTGATTAGAACTAGAAGTCGTGGACTATTTAGACTGTAGTGACAGTTACACAGTAAGAGACAGTAGTCCGCTTTCCAGATAAAACTAATTTTCTTTGATTTGCTTTTAAGTAACCGCAGTATACTTGATTCTTAGAATGTAAAATTTAGAGTTAGTTAGCAGCATATATGTTAGTTCTAGATGCGCTAGAGTGTTGTTGAATATTGTTTGTTTTTAAGTGTCCTGTAAGTAGTTGTACCTGTTAGAGATTTGTTAACTTTCTACATCTCAGTTTTGTCAATAAATCAAAACGCGTAATGTGTTGTCTTCTTTTTTTTTTTTTAATTGAGAAACACAATGATGAATTACAAATGAAAGGACATGGACTAAGTGACTACGAACTCAAGTTAGGTACAACTTATATTCTCGCAGCCACTTTTACAATGAAAGAAACATATTTTACAAGACATTTAAAAATACATGAGACCTCGCGTGAGTAACAAACCTCCCATCTTTTTGTTTCTCATATATAATTTTGTGCGGCTAACATTATTTTGCAGTTGGTATCATACGAACAAAGGAAACTACCGCGAAGAACTAAATATTGTATTCAATTATCAGAAAGGGTGTTTAAATCAACAGTATTACCAAGTATGCTTGAAAGCTTGCCAAAAAGGACTAAGCGCTGGTAGGTGTATATAGGGCAGTGCAATAAATAATAAGCAATCGTTTCATATGGACACCCGCAGCTACAGGATGGACTTGTAACAAGACCCTGGGTATAAAGACTGTGATTCAAGCTGCAGGTGCCCAGACGAAGTCGGGTAATGAGAATACAGGAAGAACGAGAATCAGCAAAGCTAAAAGTTGTCTTCTTTATTGATGCTTTTTTTCTAAACATGTTGTCTAAGTTGCCCCTATGCAAATCAGCGCATGTAACATGATAATTTCAACAATAAATTCAGACACTCATGTTTTTATTGATCATCGGCTTTATTGTTTGCAGTCTCGAGCTCGGTCTCTTTTTACTACGAATGATGTTGTCTGACTCTTCCCTATGCAAATCAGTATGGTGATTTCCTTTGTTTCCTAATTAAGTAAAACCCACCGGACCGGTTTTATCCACCCACTCAGTCCCTATATAAACGCGTCCCTAACTGCTCTGTTTCTGTCAGTACTGACTCTGCAGCCGTGAGGATCTGTGTCGTCGTGAAAACATCGTGCAGTGCTTTGGAGCGTCAGTGCATCTTGGTAAGTGCTGTATTTATTTGTCGTGTCTGCATTTAGACTTGCTTTTCACACTTGCGCATGCTAAAATTGTCAAATGTTTCCTTTGGCCATTAAAATACCAAGTCATGTATTTGCGTCTCTTTAAAACCTGATTAAGATTTTTTTTATCATTTACATATTACTTTTGTTACCATGTGCTAGCTCTGCCCTTATCCTGTTCTTCCAAAATTCTGCCGTTGACCAGATCGGTTATATGTAACGACATGATTGTATTAATTTGTCAATATAACCGATGCAAGTCCGGATGTATAAAAAAATTGGAAATTCCATTAAGAATATGACAGTTATGCTTTACAATGTTCCTGCAGGGTTACGAGTTTGACCAACATGGCGACCGGAGCTGAATCTCACCTTAAGCATGAGGAGGGAACACATGGAGATCAGGATTCTCCGCGTACCCATCGCAGTCCTTTTGGCGCCCATTTCTTCTCTAATCAAAATCAAATCTCTAATGTTGAATTTTACATTATTGCTGTAGGTTCAGATCAACATGGCGACAGCTGAATTCCATCTTAAACAAGAGGATGAAAAGAATGAGCCAGGAAAGCAAGATTCTCCTCGTGCCCACAAGTGCGGCGAGTGTGGCAAGGAGTTTCCTAATCGGAGTAATCTGATGAGACACATACGGACTCACACAGGCGAGAAACCGTACAGGTGTGAGGAGTGTAACAAAAGCTTCAGTCAGCTGAGTCATCTAAAGAGACATATGCGGACTCACACAGGTGAGAAACCGTATTGGTGTGAGGGGTGTAGCAGGCAGTTCAGAACACTGAATAATCTGGAAACACACATGCGGACTCACACCGGGGAGAAGCCGTACAAATGTGAAGAGTGTAGCCGGCCATTCAGTAACTTGTCAGATCTAAAGAAACACATACGGACTCACACTGGTGAAAAACCTTATAAGTGTGAAGAGTGCAGCAAGCAGTTCAGTAGGCTGGGTCATCTGAAGAGACACATGCGGAATCACACTGGGGAGAAACCCTACAGATGTGAAGAGTGTAACAGGCAGTTCAGTGATCTGAGTAGTCTGAAGAAACACATACGGACTCACACAGGTGAGAAACCATACAGATGTGAGGAGTGCAGCCGGTCGTTTAGTACACTGTCACATTTAAAGATACACATGCGGACTCACACAGGTGAGAAACCGTACAGATGTGAGGAGTGCAGTCGGCAGTTCACCACAAGCAGCAGTTTAAAGAGACACGTCGTGCGAACTCATAGAGCGCAGCTTTCGTAAGAGTGTCCACTGAAAAAAACACCGGCCAAAGACTGTCAGTGTCTTTGTAACGGTTACTGAGTGGCGATGTTAGAAATGTCCTGACTGTTTGATCTACATGTAGTAGTGCACTCTCTACATGACTCTACTGTGGAGTTATAGCGCAATAGAGGTGATTTTATATAACGATTGATGGATGCTTCGTAGCCTTTTGATTAGAGCTAGAAGTTGTGTGTAAAATGCAATATTGTAGTAGTTAGATAATAGCTACATGACAGGACACCGTTCATTTAACGTCAAAGTGTCACTGTCCGTCTGTTATAAAACTTAGTCAACTACATGTAGTTTTAGTATCTGTAAATATACTAGATCTTTAGCGTTTGGTTACAGTTGTAGCATGTAATTTAGTAATGAATGGAAATTTATTTCGTTTGTTTTACTGGAATTCTGTAAGATAGAGGTAGCTTAGAATGAGAGATTTGTCAACTTTTTGCATCCCAGTTTCAACAATAAAGCGCGTTATGTGCCTTATTTGTTTGTCATCCTCGCTGTCTATGCTGTACTTTTTTTATGGACGTTGTCTGATTTCCCATATGCAAATTAGCACACGTTACATGTTGCGTTCGCCATCTTGACCAAGTTGTCCTCTTTTCCTAATTAATAAGTGTGTTGCCCACTATTCGAGTCATTTTAGATTTTTTGTTTGGACTATAGAGAGTGAAAAATTAGATTTTTTTTTACTCACAATGGATTTTATGTATACTTGTATTAATTTGAACACGTAAGCTTACAACCTATTCTGAAATGGATGTTGCTCAGTCTTCAAGCATTTATCGACTCTGAAATTTAATTCTTGGTCAGACGCGCCAAAGTCCAAAGTCGTTGTTCAACCACCTGACGTGTTTTGTATTGTATGCAAAATAGGTTAGAGCTACAAGGCATCGATCGTATTCATGGTTGGTCGTCTTGATTAAGGAATTTACTAACAGCTTTAAAGCTGGGTGTTTGATACATTTTCAAACTACTATAATGGCCATTTATGGCCCTTTCATTGACTTAAATTTAACGGTTTGCGGACACGCAACAGCCCCCATCGTATGCAGACAATCGTCTCTTTGATATCAGTTCCAACAATAAAAGAAAACACATAATATGCATGTTGTTGTGTTTATCGTTATTGTCCAACTGATTGTATCTTTATCTAATGATGTTGTCTAATTTCCCCTATGCAAATCGGCACATGTAAGAAAAATACTTTCCTTTGTTTCGTAATCAAGTAAATCCCATCGGACCAGTTTTATCCACCCACCCAGTCCCTATATAAACGCGTCCCTGACTGCTCTGTTTCTGTCAGTACTGACTCTGCTGCAGCCGTGAGGATCTGTGTCGTCGTGAAAACATCGTGCAGTACTTTGGAGTGTCTCTGCATCTTGGTAAGTGCCGAGTATGATTTGATTTTCCGATACAGCCTGGGCAGCGGCGCAGAACAGAAGTGCTTGGAGGACAGTTTGCCGGGGCGCTACGCTCCTAGGAGCATGCGGACATGAGTGAGTGAGTGAGTGATGCATCATTTATGAGCACTGCCGTATGTTACATTTTAAACCGATTAAACCGACCTACTAAGGTGTTACGTGCATACATCATATAATTGGTGTGGTGCATGTATATTGAATGGTATTAGGTAAGTATGTTGTGGTTGCAATCTAGCGGAGTGACTTTATACGGTACTATATGGCATCATATGATATCATATCTGTATGATATCACGTGCTGTGAATATGCTATGGTTTGGGGGTTTAGTGCTATAATATCAGATCGGGTACATGTAATGACATCTTTATAGGAATTTTTCAATATTGCAGGTGCGAGTCCACACGTTAACCAGATTCTAAATTCCATTTAATTGACAACTTATACTTGTTACCTCAGGATTACAAGTTTGACCAGCATGGCGACCAGGGCTGAATCTCATCTGAAACAAGAGGAGGGAGAGAAGGATTCTCCGCGTACCCACAAGTGTACCGAATGTGGCAAGGTGTTTCATAACCTGAGTCATCTAAAGCGACACATTCGGACTCACACAGGTGAGAAACCCTACAGATGTGAAGAGTGTAGCAGGCAGTTCAGCGAGCTGAGTAGTCTGAAGCGGCACTTGCGCACTCACACTGGTGAGAAACCGTACAGGTGTGAAGAGTGCAGCAGGCAGTTTAATCAGCTGTGTAATCTAAAGACTCACATGCGGACTCACACAGAAGAGAAACCCTACAAGTGTGAGGAGTGCGATAGGCCCTTCAGTGAGCTAGGTCATTTGAAAGAACACATACGGATTCACACAGGTGAGAAACCATACAGATGTGAGGAGTGCAGCCGGTCGTTTGTTACATTGTCACATCTAAAGAGACACATGCGGACTCACACATGTGAGAAACCGTACCGGTGTGAGGAATGTAGCAAGCAGTTTAGTCAGCAGGATAGTTTGAAAATCCACATGCGGATCCATACAGGTGAGAAACCGTATAGATGCGAGGAGTGCAGTAAGCAGTTTACTAATGTATCTGGTCTGAAGCTCCACATGCGGACTCACACTGGTGAGAAACCGTACAAATGTGAGGAGTGCAGCAAGCAGTTTACTCAGATGTCTGTCCTGAAGCGTCACATGCGCACTCACACTGGTGAGAAAAAACAGATGCGAGGAGTGCTGATGCGAGGAGTACTGAAAGCAGTTTAGGCAGATGTTAATTCTAAAGACGCACATGCAAACTCACACAGGTGAGAAATCGTACAGTTGGAAAAAATGTAGTAAAATATTTTTGCAGTTAAGTAGTCTGAGTGTCCACATGCAATCTCATACCAGCGAAAACCATCCAGTACTTGTGTCCATGTAAAGATAACTATTCGCCGATGAAGGTTAGACATCCAGGTAATACGACACGCCAATAATTTCGGAAATCGTCAGACGTTTCAGTTAGATTACTATTATGTGGTATCATTTATGTCAGTAGCGAAGTGTGTAGATCTCTTTTAGCGAAGTGTGTAGATCTCTTTTTACTGTTTTCTTTAAGTAGTGTACATGACTCCATTGTAAATTACGAATGCATGCTCCGTAGCCTGTTGATTGGGAAGTCGTGGACTGTAAGTGACATAGAGACAATAGTGACGTAGAGACCGTTCGTTTGACATCAAGGCGCATGGTCCGTCTGTTATAGCCCGCTTTCCAGATGAAACTAATTTTCTTTGTCTGACGTTTTCAAAATCATATCCAGTTGCTTGAATAACTGTTTTTTTGCTAATTTTCTTTGATTTGCTTTTGAATTTTGAGTTAGTTAGCAGCATATGTGTTAGTTCTAGATGCACTAGAGTGTTGTTTGTTAAATATTGTAGCTGTAGCTGTTAGAGATCTGTCAACTTTCTGCATCTCAGTTTTGTCAATAAATCAAAAAACGTAATGTGTTGTCTTCATTATTGATCTTTTTCCTAAGGTTGTTGTCTAATTTGCCCCTATGCAAATCAGCGCATGTAACATGAACCAATAATTCCGTCATGTTATATGTTGTTGTTTTTATGGATCGCCAACTTTATTGTTAGTCTGCAACTTGGTCTCTTTTTTCTACGAATGATGTTGTCTGAGTCTTCCCTATGCAAATCAGCATGGTGCTTTCCTTTGTTTCGTAATCAAGTAAAACCCACCGGACCGGTCATGCGGACTCACACAGGCGAGAAACCTTACCGATGTGAGGAATGTAAAAAAAGCTTCAGTCTGCTGAGTAATCTGAAGAAACATGTGCGGATTCACACGGGTGAGAAATCGTATCAATGTGAGGAATGCAGCAGGTGGTTTGGTACGCTTTTTAGCCTGAGGTCGCATATCAGGACCCACACCGGTGAAAAACCATACACGTGCGAGGAGTGCAGCAGACAGTTCAGTGATCTGTGTAATCTGAAGAAACACATGCCCACTCACACGGGTGAGAAACCGTACAGGTGTGAGGAGTGCAGCAGGCAGTTTAGTCTGTTGGCTAGTCTAAAGAAACACATGCGGACTCACACAGGTGAGAAACCGTACAGATGTGAGGAGTGCAACAAGCAGTTCAGTCAGCTGGGTAACCTTAAGACCCACATGCGGACTCACACTGGGGAGAAACCTTACAACTGTAATGAATGCAGCCGACAGTTCGGCAGCCTGGGTAGTCTAAAGGAGCACAGGAAAACTCACACTGGTGAGAAACCGTACGGATGTGAGGAGTGCAGCAAGCAGTTTAGTCAGCTGGGAAATCTAAAGAGGCACATGCAGAGTCACACAAGAGAAATCGAACATGTGTGAAAATGCAACGAAAACAACGATTTTATATCCCGATTGCCCTGTAATCTGTTTCTTAGGACGAGAAGTACAATATATAGTGTGTAAAAGGCGAGAGTGCAGTTTTTCAATAATCTGTAAACAAGTTTTCTTATACTATCATGAAAGTTCATCTGTGTTGGTAGTTACATGTTTAAAGTTAAAACGTTTGGTCCAATGAACACAAAAAATTCTCTCACCTAGAGCTTTCGACCAGTCACTCTGGTCTTCTTCAGTAGTCTGACCCAGTGAAGCTTGTCACGTGGCTTCTTTGAAGTGTGACTGGTCGAAAGCTCTAGGTGAGAGAATTTTTTGTGTTCATTAGCCTGTTGATTGAAATTAGAATGTGTGTCTTAAATGTGACTGTGTTTTTTTTTTATACAACTGTGACATAGTTACACGGTAGTAGACCGTTTCTTTGACGTCAAGGCGCATGGTCCGTCTGTTATAGCACTTAGTTAACTTGTTTTCTTTGATTTGCATTATCAAATCACAGTACACTAGGTCCTTAGAATCCAAAATGTAGAGTTAGCTAGCAGCATATGTCTACCAAGTTTTCAGAGAATGGTGTAGTAATAGAATTAAATTTTAATAACTTTGGTGTAATTATGACGTCATATGACGTCAGAGCTAATAATATAGTCCGCCATATTGGATTTTGACCAATGACGTCATCAAATTAGCATATTCTATGCATATTAAATGATTTAACTTATATTTAATTACTAGTATGTAAGATGTTATTAATGTTGGAAAAGAAGTGTAATTTAATATAAAAGTGAGAAAATTTTTGTTTAAACCAAAATTACTTCTATTTAAAAAAAAATGCCTGCTAGAAACCCGTTGCCATGGCAACACAAAAAAAACATCAACTTACTAGTATTAAACTAATATGAACTTTTTTCCAGAGACATTTTAGGAAAGGTCTCCAAATTTGATACTTCTAGCGCAAGCCGTTTAGTCGCTATCTGAGATCAAAGTTGGGCCTCAAAAGCCCCTTAAGTCTGAAATAGGTTTAAAAATCGGGTATTTCTTCTTGTCTTCTTTTCTTCACCAAAAAATAGAAAAAGTTCAAAATGTATGATTTTTGTATGTAATGTGGACACAGAGGTTCCCACATCAGTTTGCAAAACAATTGAGCTGGTAGCATGTTGATAATTTCTAAAAATTAGCAAAAAACTGTCTTGGGGTCCGCGCGGACCCCAGGTGTACAGATTAATCAGTCCGGGAAGGTGTACTGTTGAGGGTTAATCACCAACTATATGGTTAGTCTCCAAGTTGGTCCCTTTTTTTCTACGAATGATGTTGTCTGACTCTTCCCTTTCCAAATCATTATGGTGATTTACTTTGTTTCGTAATCAAGTAAAACTCAAAGCACGTAATGTGTTTTGGCTTTCTTGTTTCTTTTCTAGCTTCATAGTTATTCTCCATGTCGTGGGTGTTGTCTGTCTGGAGGCGTTGTCTGATTCCCTCTATGCAAATGAGCACATGTAACATGTTATAGTTTCCTTTGTTTCGTAATCAAGTAGAGGCTATCGGACCGGTTTTATCCACCCACCCAGTCCCCATATAAACGCGTCCCTGACTGCTCTGTTTCTGCCAGTACTGACTCTGCAGCCGTGAGGATCTGTGTCGTCGTGAAAACATCGCGCTGTACTTTGGAGCGTCCGTGCATCTTGGTAAGTGTCGACTATGATTTCGTTTTCCTATGCTAACCTCCATAAAAATGGAGGTATTGTTTTTTTCACGTCGTTGAATACGGACTTGTGTAGGTTAAGCTTGGCCGCGAAGATCTTTATGTATGTCTACATTTGCTTTCCACACTTGTCTATGCTAAGATTGTCAAATGTTTCCTTTTTTAAAATCTGACCATTAACATACCAAACCATGTGCCCGAAGACAAAAACAGTGTACATGCTATCCACTATTATACAGTATACACGCTTGTCAATTCCATCGATATGATATATTGCATTCTTCCTTTAGGATGAACAGTTTGACCAACATGGCGGCCAGAGCCGAATCTCACCCGAAACAAGAGGAGGGAGAGAGTGGGCGTGGTGAGAAGGATGCTCCGCGTACCCACAAGTGCGGCGAGTGTGGCAAGGAGTTTCCTAAACGGAATGATCTGAGACGTCACATGCGCACTCACACAGGCGAGAAACCGTACAGGTGTGAGGAGTGTAACGAAAGATTTAGTCTGCTGAGTAATCTGAAGCGCCACATGCGGACTCACACGGGTGAGAAATCGTATCAATGTGAGGAATGCAGCAGGTGGTTTCGTACGCTTTTTAGCCTGAGGTCGCATATCAGGACCCACACCGGCGAAAAACCATACGCGTGTGAGGAGTGCAGCAGACAGTTCAGCGAGCTGGGTAATCTAAAGACTCATATGCGGACTCACACAAGTGAGAAACCGTACAGATGTGAGGAGTGCAGCAGGCAGTTTAGTCATCTGGGTAACCTAAAGGATCACATGCGGACTCACACAGGTGAGAAACCTTACAGGTGTGAAGAATGCAGCAGACGGTTTAGTCTGTTGGCTAATCTGAAGAAACACATGCGAACTCACACTGGTGAGAAACCGTACACGTGTGATGAATGCAGCAGGCAGTTCAGCAGGCTGAGCAGTTTAAAGAGACACGTGCGGACTCACACAGGGGAGAAACCTTACAGGTGTAAAGAGTGCAGCAGGCGTTTCAGTCAGTTGGGTCATCTGAAGGAGCACATGAAAACTCACACTGGTGAGAAACCGTACAGATGTGAGGAGTGCAGCAGTCAATTCACCACAAGCAGCAATTTAAAGAGGCACGTCGGGCGAACTCACAGAGCGGAGAAACCGTAGATGTGTTAAAAATGCAACGGAAGCTTTCTGTTTGATGCATGTTATTCTATTGTAAGTGAAGCCACTTGTTTACCGTTTTTCTGTTAGTAGTGTATTCTATACATGATTCCAATTTAAGAGTTAACAATGTCGGTGATTTTATATCACGATCGATGCGGATACATGCTTCGTAGCCTGTTGGTTAGAGCTAATAGTTGTGTGTAAAATGCGAAAGTGTAGCATTTACATGTAGACAGTAGTTACATGGTAGGGCACCGTTCGTTAAACCGTAAGGTGTCATTGTCCGTCTGTTGACTTAGTCAACTACGTGAAGTACAGGCATGTAAATATACTAGATCCGTAGCGTTTTGTGAAGTTATCAATTCATCGAAATGTAGTTTTCTTTGTTTTAATATTTGTAAATATACTAGCTTTCTAGCGTTTAGTTTCGGTTGCAGCACATTAACGTTGTTTGTAAAATGTGAAGTGAAAAAAAAGAAGTGAACTGTTGTTTCTTTAAGTTCCAGTGTTCTGTTAACTATAGGTAGCTGTTAGAGATTTGTCAAATTTTTGCATCTCAGTTTCAACAATAAAGCGCGTAATGTGTCGTATTCATTGGTCACCATCCCTGTCATTTTTCCATGTTCCCTGTCCCCATGCTCTTTACCCTGTAGACCAGTGTGCAACTTTGCTAGAATAGTATACCATAGAATAGAATAGCAGTTACCACGTCTACTATTTATGCGAATCATATCCACTCTTTACCCTGTACACCAACGTTATGTTAGTTTTAAAGTAGATATAGTGAGTTAAATAAGCATGTTAGCATAATCATAGTCTTAAATTCACCCCATTCTGTACTCATTGTTCCATTTCTGTTTCCATTTAGCCCTCGGGCACGAACTTGCAATAAAGAACTCGTTATATCTCGTAACTAGTCGTCATCATCATTACGGCATCTCCTTCGCAACTATCTTCTTTTTCCTAATTTTTCTTCGTCTCTATTTTACTATAATTGTATTAACTATAGCATGGACAATTGTTTACACTGATATACCAGACATAATTCCTTATGTCCGACAAGGCGTCTGTAAGTACACAACCCGGGTAATCAGGTTTGTCACCTTTAACCTTTGCCCTCGATGGGTTTGACCTATGCTGACGCTGAACCGCCATTTTTGAGCCGTGCATGTGGTGTCATTTCTCTCCAATCTGAGGCGATTCCCACCTTACTTCGGCTCCCTATCAGCTCTGGGCAGTTTTTAAAGACAAGTAAGACCTTTGCTGACCTCCTACTCTCGCTGGGGCGCGATACCAGGTATTTTAAATCTGTCGGCAATCGCTTGATACGGGCAAATGTCCTTGATATATAGAACAAGGACATTATTATAGTACATTATACAGTCCACAAGAACTCCTGGGTAAATGTAACTGGAGTATTTACATATTTGTCAACTTTCTCAATCTCAGTTTCAACGATAAATTCAAAAGAGGTAATGTGTTGTTGTCTCTCAATCGCTATCGTTAGCAGCTGCATGAAATCCTGGAAGCCTTTCATAGTATCAGTCATGTGAAATATTTGTCCCTCAGTCTCGACTAAAGAGACGTCAAAATTGTTCTAGCGACCGACAATGGTGAGTGAGAGGTTCAAAGCTAACAGCCTTCAGCCGTAGGCGTTGTTGGCAAGACGATCCAGACAAAACCGCTCCAATTTCGTCATTTAGACGCCAGCCTGTGTGCTGGATACGTTAAGGCTTCAAAGCATTGATTCAGTTGATGGCTGGCCGTGTGGATTGTGGAATTTACTGGTAGCTTGGATGATGGAGGGGGTGTTTGAAATATTTTCAAACTACTATAATAGCCATTTATGGACCTTTCATTGAATTAGATTAGGCAGTTTGCCGACACTCAACAGCCCCCATTGTATGCAGACAATCGTCCCTTTGATCTCAGTTTCAACAATAAAATAAAACACGTAATATGCATGTTGTTGTCGACCAGAGCTGAATCTCACCTTAAGCATGAGGAGGGAGAGAATGGACATGGAGATCAGGATTCTCCGCGTACCCACAAGTGCGGCGAGTGTGGCAAGCAGTTTCCTTACCTGAGTTATCTGAGGCGACACATGCGGACTCACACAGGAGAGAAACCTTACCGATGTGAGGAATGTAACGAAAGATTTAGTCTGCTGAGTAATCTGAAGAGACACATGCGGACTCACACAGGTGAGAGACCGTACAGATGTGAGGAATGTGGAAGGCAGTTCAGTCTGCTAGATAGTCTGACGAGTCACATGCGGACTCACACTGGTGAGAAACCGTACCGTTGCGAGGAGTGTGGCAGAAAGTTCAGTGAGTTTGGTCATCTGAAGCAGCACATAAAAACTCACACAGGTGAGAAACCGTTCAGGTGTGAAGAGTGTGGCAGACAATTCAGTAGGCTGGATACTCTGAAAATACACATGCGGACTCACACAGGTGAAAAGCAGTACAAGTGTAAAGATTGCAGCAGGCAATTTAGCAGGCTGGATACTATAAAGGAGCACATGAGAACTCACACTGGTGAGAAACCTTATAGATGTGAGGAGTGCAGCAAGCAGTTTAGTCAGCTGCGCGATCTGAAGGCACACATCCGGTCTCACACTGGGGAGAAACCGTACAAATGTGAGGAGTGTAGCAGGCACTTCAACAAGCAGTTTAAAGAGACACATCGTGCGAACTCACAGAGTGGAGAAACCGAATATGTCTTAAACGTACAACAGAAGCTTTCGCCAAGGTACCAATTAAAGAACTCATCGGCAAAAGCCTGTCAATGCCATTACCGTGCTATTCTTTTTGCCAATGCAATGGCCTATTTTCACCTTCTGTCAGTGTAGTACTCTTCACTGTAAAGTTTTAACAATGAATATCATTGAAAGTTTGTATCACGATCGATGTATGCTTCGTAGTCTTTTGATTAGAGCTAGAGGTTGCGTGTAAAATGAGACTTTTTAAGTATTTAGAATCGGACAATAGTTTCATGGTAAGGCACCATTCGTTTAACGCCGTTCGTTCGTGTCACACAACTGTTATAAAACTTATTCAACTATGTAGTTTTCGTGTTATTATTTATCGAAATGTTTGTTATACTGCAGTTCTGTTAGCTACTTGTAGCTGTTAAAGGTTTGGAAACTTTTTGCATGTCAGTTTCTACAGTAAAGGCCTTCATACGCCATTTTTATTGGTCAACATCTCGTTTTTCCCCATGTTGTATTTGGAATCGCACCAGAAACAAGAGGAGGGACTAGTAGTGAATGGGCACGGGGAGCAAGACTCTTCGTGTACACACAACTGTGGCAAGGGGTTTATTTGTGTTTATATGAGGCAGAGTTGGACTCATACAGGTGGGAAAACGTTGAGATGTGAATAATGCAGCAGTCAGTTTGACAAGCTTTAGAGACGGACTCACTGTCAGGGAAGAAATCGTACAAATGCGGGCAGTGTAGCAGGCGGTTCAATGATCTCGGTAATCTGAAGAAGGCTATGAGGACTCACACGGTATATTGTTTTACCATCAGATTTTACCATTCTATTATGCTGACATAAGGCCATGTTGATTTGATTATATGGATGACATCCGCGCGCGCATGAATTTTCGGCCGTTTCCAAAAAAAAAGTTTTAAACGATACTGTAAATCGTACAAAACGGTTGCAAAATGAGCAAAAATATGCCGTACGTTAAAAAAATAAAAATAAAAACTATACCAATGTCGTAGAATGCCAAAATCAAACGAAAAAAGACGAAATTGTAAAGAAATGAACTTAAAGACTAGATTATTCACCAAACCATATTCTGTGCCATTTGTCTTTTGGTACAAATAGTGGAAGTTCGACTCCTGTGTTTTAATGAGCTACAGCCAAAATATTGACATGATACCAGGATTTCACCCCCTGGCAAAGTGGGACAGTCCACACAAAGAACAAGTATTTAGACTTAGAGGTCAAGGACAGGTCAAACCACGGAAAAGGTCACACTTTTTGGCCATATTTTAAAAATATACATTCTTCTGTCCTGGGTAGAGTGGTCAAAACTTCCAGACTTTTTGCGTCCACCACTGTGATTCCCTCTCTTAACAACAGCCTCATCAGGATACCTGACGGGTAAACAAGGGAACTTATATATAATTTTTTTTATACATGCATGACATAGATGTCTGAGCTTGTATGAGGTTCTACAGTGTGACATGCTGAATAAAAGTTCTAAACGGGAACTATGCGGCTCCAGATGTCTTACTGAGGGACGACTGCATGTGCAAGATGTCAGTTAGCTTGAGAAATGAATCCCCTCTACTATATACTTGTGTGAAGTTCTAATTATAATAGTTCTTTCTGGTACTGTGTGTATTCTTTTGTGGCATTATGTCATTATGCGGATCACATGTTTTTTTGTAATACTGTGCAGTCTGTTATTTTGTACTAAAAAATTGGGTGCACAGCTACAAATTTGGGTGCACTAAGGTGGACATGCACCCAGTATTTTGCGTCCTGGAAGGGCATATTACTGTAAATCACTTTTTATTTGCGGTACTTTTATATTCACAGTTTTCACTGTCACTTCTGACTTAGTTCTGCTCCATGAATTTATCAGTACTCTGAAGAAATGATTTGCCAACTTTCTTTCTTCTGCACCTGCTACCACCACAAACTTATCTAGTTCTCCAAACATGTCCATTTTTCTCAGAACATGAAATTTTCCTAATGCGAATATGAAGTGATTTACTTGAGAGTCATGGCAGTAAGGGTCTGCTGTGCAATGAACCTGTAAATACTGTACATAGCAACTGTCTTCTCTGTCACAATCAGTTACTGTAGAAGTATGGTTCTTCAGTTTGCTAAAACTGAATCAAGATCACTTCTGTGGCAAGGAATCCTTGACTTAAACACCAGATAACACAATTCAAATGTAGAACCAGACCATCAAGATTCATTTAGACCAGACTTACACAATGTCATGTAATTCTTAGAATTCTCTCCCCTTCCCTCTTAAGATCTTTCCATCTACTGTATCTATCAAATTTTTATCTCTCCCTTTCTCTTTCTCTCTTTCTCTCTCTCCTCTCTCTCTCTCCTCTCTTTCTCTTTCTCTCTCACCTCCAGTATCTGTGCACATACAGCAGCCAGTAGGGGAACCTGCGCCCCTCCCTTCTGTACTTATCCAGCTGGAGCAGCATCAGGTATGCCATCAGGACTCCACTGTAGGAAATGGAAAATACAGTTTAGAGAAAACTATTTCTGTATTTGTCATACAGATGCAAAGAAGGACAGATATTACAGGATTGACAGCTGCGAAAAGAACAACTGGAGTAAATGAGGGCCAATCAGCACCGAGGACAAAGCAAGTTGTATCTGATACTATTATAGGTTTTTTCCTTTGTGACCTCAGTAAAAAGCGGCCAGAATAAAGAAAGGCTAAAACAAAATAAAATACTTTCTCGAGAAACAAGACAGACTTTTAGGTCTGGACAGGAGGAAGTCAGTTCTTACCTGAGGAAAAAGAAGGAATCCACTGAGACGAACCCATTCAGGACCACCTCAAAGCTGAAACGTTTTGTGATATTCAGCGCCTGTAGTGGGTTGTCTGCAGAAGGAATGAAAAAACAATTATCAGTCTGATTCAGGGCTCGAAATTCATTTTTGAGAATAGGTGCACTGGTGCACCCAACCTAAAAAAATTGGGTGCCAACCTGATGACAAAAGTCATGGTCACAAAAGTACCTCACCTAGATAGCCTATCTCGAAAGCGAAGGTGTTCCCCAGGATGACCCAGGTCATGCTGAGGAAGCGGATCCCGTGCAGACACCCCAGGCTGTCGGGAGACTCCCGCGTAGACAGGAGCTTCCGGGTGTTGGTTCGGATGGAGAAGGCCAGGAGGAACTTAGTAATACACAACTGCCCTGTTAAATAGAAAACAAACAAACAAACAAACAAAATCACTTATGTGTGGTTTGGATGGAGATTCCAAGAGGAGCTTACACACTAGGCCTGTTAAATAACAAACAAACAAACAAACAAACAAACACTGATGTGTGGTTCAAACAGAGAAGGCTAGGAGGAGCTTACACAACTGACCTGTTGAATAACAAATAATTAAACAAAATCACTTATGTGTAGTTTGGACACAGAAGGCCAACACAATTGGCCCTGTTAAATAACAAACAAACAAACAAAATCACGTAGTCAATCAATCAATTAAGCTTTTAAATCTAAAATCAAAGCTTGCAGACTGGTAAAACATTCACAATATGCCCAACTCATGATAATTTTACAAGTAAGTGGCAAAATGATGAATTACCAAAGGGCTTGAAAGACAGACTTATGCCTTTAGGCGCATAGTTTATGAGAGTGAATACACCCAGATGCAACTTTTTCCTCCCAGCTCTATGTTTCATCTCAACCTCCAAGAAAGAGAACCAATAAAGAACAATGTCATACTTCAAGAAACAGTAAATGAGACTACGTTTTGTACTCACTTTCCTGAGCAGAAGGTACTATCACCTTCTCAGCTTGTCTCGACACTGAGGTATCGTTGACGAGTGGAGTTGTCTCGGTGACTGCTCCATTTGTATGCTCGTTGCTGGTTGGCTGATGGACCTTCCATATTGGCCGAGAGATGTGGTTGGGCTTGAAGATGTCGTAGAGTGTTCCGGCGATCATTAGTGCCACAAAGACGCTCACAATACATCTGGGTTGGGGAATTTAAAGCTTTAAAAATGTGTGTCTGTGTCTGTACATGTGTGTGCAGTAGTCACTTTAGTGTGTTTGTGCCTTGTGCCTTGTGTATGTGTAATATGTGTTTTTGTGTGCATGTTTGTATGTGTATGTGTATGTGTGTGTCTGTATGTGTGTGTCCGTGTGCATGTTTGTACGTGAGTGTGTATGTTTTGTATGTCTGTGTGTGTGTGTCAATGTATATATGTATGCATGTGTCTGTATGTGTGTGTCTGTGTGCATGCTTGTATGTGTGTGTGACTGTGTATGTTTTGTATGTCTGTGTGTGTGTCAGTGTATGTATGTATGTGTGTATATGTTTATGTGTGTTTGTACATGTGTTTCTGGTTGTGAGTCAGTTTGTCTGTGCACATATCGAGATACATGTATACATACAACGTATATATTTGCACTAAAACTCTTACACATATTCTACCATACTCACATTTTTGTTACAAACATTTATTTACAAAGTTTTGCAGTCTCAGATTGTGTCTGCAAATTCAACCTTCCTGTTTCAGTGCATGGTGTGGACCTGGTACCTGGCTAATGACATGCAGTTCTTTGTCATCAGTGTCCCAATCATCTGGATCACATTCAGGTAGGCTACTGTTTAAGTGTATCTGTACAAACACTCACTCACTCACTCACTCACTCACTCACTCATCACTCACTCACTCAATCACTCACACCCTCACTCATCACTCACTCACTCACTCACTCATCACTCACTCATCACTCACCGACTCACTCACTCACTCCCTCACTCACTCACTCACTTTGACTCACTCACTCACTCACTCACTCCCTCACTCACTCTCTCACTCACTCACTCATCGCTCACTCACTCACTCACTCACTCACTCATCGCTCACTCACTCAATCACTCACTCACTCACTTTGACTCACTCATCACTCACTCATCACTCACTCACTCACTCACTCATCACTCACTCACCGACTCACTCACTCACCGACTCACTCACTCACTCACTCACTTTGACTCACTCACTCACTCACTCACTCTCTCACTCACTCACTCACTCACTCACTCATCGCTCACTCACTCAATAACTCACTCACTCACTCACTCACTCACTCACTCACTTTGACTCACTCACTTTGACTCACTCACTCACTCCATCGAGCTCGCTTGGAATCTTCCTGTATCCATAACTCTGTGTCACCCATCACTGCAGACAGCTGACTTAGGTTCATACACCACTGTCAGATTCAAGCTGTTTAATGTATTATCGTGTGCAGTCTTCCACAACTTCTGTTTCCATGATTTGGGTTCCACAATCTCCTTTGCGATATTGTATATATTTGTACAGGAACATCACAAATTTAAACTACGGAGACTACAGATTTGGTTTAACAGTGGCAGCTAGACTTTGTATTTATTTAGCAATCAACCAATCAATTAATCAATCTGATTATTACTATGATCCTGTTTTCCCTTTCCCAGGTATTTCCTGGTAGGAATGATCACCCAGGTTGTCCTGCTGCTGGCCAGTTTTGGAGCGACAATCGGCCTGGCCATACACTATAACCTGCAACCCACCATGTTATCAGCTGGGTAAGTCACCACCTTTTTTAACGAAGTGGTTCAATTCAAGTCCTATACGACCACTTCTTGGCATTGAACTAGAAATATGAGAGAAACATGGCTTTGTCAAGAGATGGCGGTGAATGTTTGATTTGAAAGCCTGTAGATTGTAGGTTGGTGGGAAACACTTGTCAGGGAGGGAATTCCAAAGCTTGGCCATATGGGGAAAGAAACTGTCACTGTAAAAAGATTCCGAACAAGGAATTCGGATGGTGAAGTTTCCTCATCATTTCTTTTTTCAGCATCCTAAGCACAAACACATGGTGGTACACAGAAAAGGTCTCAAAGGTGGACCAACATGTAAGAGTGCGTTAAAACAATGGCTATAAAAGTGTCTGTAGAAGAGAGACAACATTTTGTCTGTAAGAGAGGGAGTCCAGATGATATCCAGTGGCTATGCAAAGTCTCCTTCGATTACAGTCCAAAAGTGGTTTCAATTGATAAGTTGAATTTTGGTACTGCCCAATTTTTTTTTTGTTGTGTCACATCAGTGCCAGCTATTTTCATTTCATCTATACCTAAAAATAGTAATCAATGGTTTTCTATTTTTTATTCCAGGCAGACTATTCCAGACCCTAATGCGATGAACCTGTACTACCAGAAGCCGTACTGCAGGATCGGGCTGTACCTGGTGGGAACCATGCTGGGCTATCTGCTCTACAGAACCAGGGGGCAGGTCCGCTTGCACAAGGTAATACCAGTCCGCATTCATGTCTTGTAATGCCAGTCACTGATTCAATTTTGTGGCGTAGGGTGGCGTAGTGGTAGATCATTTGACTGTGATCCGGGAGACCCGGGTTCGATCCCGAGTCATACCCTTGACATGTCTGAACATGCGCCCGACGTTGTGTCCTTGGTAAAGGCACTTTATACGACTTTCCTCACTCCACCCAGGTGTGAATGGGTACCTAACTTCAGTTGGGGAAAGCCGTATTGAGGTCACCTTGTGGCACCGAAAGGCAGCCGCACAGACCCTTGCGGCAATTCCCCAAAAATGTGGAACAAATATGTATCATTCAATTCAATTCAATTCTTTATTTCATACCAACGTTGCAGACATACAAAAATTTGTGTTGCCTTAATGGCATTGGTATTTACAGCAATAACAGCAAGATAAGTACATAACATATATTACACATATATACATACTATTAAAATATATACATTAAATCAACAGGGCATCCCAGATATGACACGTTTACACAGTCTGGTTGTATAGTCTGATAGACTGATGTACTCATGTGTATTGTGTGTATTATTATCTATATTATCATAATTTGTATCATCTGATTGTAAACCCTGCATCAATTCAGCACTATAAGGCTGCGATTGCATGGGTGATGTTTGGCCAATAAACCTTTTAAAAACAAATTTGCTGGTCCCAGGATATAAAATGGGCCATACTGAAGTGATAAATCAAAATAAAAGTAGAGTCTTAGTGGAAAATTGAATAGATTTAACAATAAATGAAAAATTAACAATGAGAAGAATTTTTCACAGAAAGTAGTGTTTTTATACTGTGGAGCCTGCATGGGTGTTGTGTAGATTGTCATCTAAATAGCCAGCTATTTTTTTCTAACTATGCACCTGAGTAAAATGATTGACAAAAGCAATGTTATCAAAAGTTCATTAATTTGTATTTTTTCCAGGAAGTAACATTGTTAGGCTGGCTGGCAGCTACAGGAATCTGCATGGGTGTTGTGTATGGACTGTACAACCATCTTACTCAGGGGGTGGTTCTGAGTCGACCTGTGGCCATCCTGTAGCTGACTGTACACCGGACTGCCTGGGGAGTGGGGCTGGCCTTGGTCTTGTTTGCCTGCATCAATGGCTACGGAGGTACAAAGATTTTTTTCAGTTTTGTTTTTTTGTGTAGTTGTGTTACTTTATAATACATCCTTATGAATGTACAATATACAGTACATAATTTTGTAATGTTGGACAAAGTAGCTCCATTTACTTCCAATTGAAAATTTTCATTTTATTGTAACAGCTGCATAATACACCATAATTATATTATTTTGAAATGTAAAGGAAAGTAGCTAAAACTCAGGGGAACCCTCTTAAGAGATTTGTAATATAAGACAGTCCCAATATGACTAAGTTCAAGACTGCTGTAAACAGTTTCTTGTTGAACTCTTAGAGATCTTCTAACTCTGACAATTAATTATGTACCATGCAATTATGTATAATGTATCTGATAATTTTGGGATCGAATGTGACTGTGCACTTAAGCGAGGGGATAATTGATGTGGCATTATATTGAACCGAAAATCATCGATTACGATGTGAAGACCAGGTTCACTTCGCACTGATTAGAAAAAAAAAGATATCTTTTAGTACAAGAAAGGTTGATTTGCATGTCTGGCTTGTGCATTTTCTTAGAATTTTGTACAATTTGACCTGGGCTTCATATAATTTTTTTTATAATTTTTATAAGTATGATTTGACTACTCGTTGGCACCAATCACAGTAGGGGCATCATCACTAGAAAGCTTTAAACAACCCCTGCAATTAAAGGTGCAAAGATTGGTGTGATATAGCTAGCTGCTGCCGTGTCGCGTGCCTGCGAAGCTGGACTGTGTTATGCCGATGGGCGGTTATACCGGCTATACTGATACACATACAAATACAGATACTCGTTCCCCAGGTATAATCAACACCATCCTGTCGTGGAAAGCTTGGATCCCCCTCAGCCGCCTGACGTACTGTGCCTACCTGGTACATCCCATTGTCATACTCATCACCTACTCGGACCAGCAGGAGGCAAATATACACTACACTGACATCCTGCTGGTTAGTAGTGACTGTCATACTAGTAGCCTGAAAGTTGACATGGCCCTAGTTATCATGTTTATGCTAATTTATGATTTATCTGGTATATGATTTACCTACCTATGTTATCTATTCTGTACTTCAATTTGTTCTTATTTTTTATTTATTAGTTGTATTTTTGTGGGCTCCCATGAAAACAATATTCCTCTTGTTCCTAAGATGAAAATAGATTTTAGAAAAGTTCATCTGTGTTGGTAGAAGTTAGCCTCTCCAGGCTTTGGAAGCGGCTGGAAATACTAGTAGTAGACATTGACAAAAGTAGCCAAATAGACAGATAACATGACATGGGAGTTGGTCTGCTAAAGGAGCAGACCAACTCCCCTGGCACGTTAATGTCTACTTGGCCAATTTCTACTCTTCCTAGCTGCTTCTGAAGCCTGGTGAAATTAGAGTCTAGGTAAAATTCTTTTCAGAACCAGGTTTGGACTGTAATTTCCAACACTTGGAATGACCCAAATTTTCAACTCTTCAACTCTTTGTCAAATCAAGGAGCTTACAGAGCCACAAAGATCAGAATGATGTGACGTCACAGAATGTGCATTTCTCATTCCTTGACAAAGACTGGAGTTGAACAGTCAAAACATTTTGATAAGAAACTTTAAGCATGCTACACGATGGTTCCGTTGCTAGCCTTTTGTTCGCGTTGCTATGGCTGAGTGCGCCGCCCACTCACAACGGGGTGCCTACCTCGTGCCTGTACCAAACACTGCAAATATCTCAAAATAACGCATGGTCGGAATATCATGTCGAGAATGTGGGCATGTGATTCCTTAATGTTGGTTTTTTCCTGTCATTTTTCAGGCGTACTATTTTGTGGGGCACATGCTTTTTAAGTGTGTTTTTTTTTCTGTCATGTGGCATCCCTACTGTTACGTGAGGCACGTGACTTTTTAAATTAGTGTTTTCTGTCATTTTTCAGGCGTACTATTTTGTGGGGCATGTGTTGTTCTCCTATGCCGGTGCTTACATTGTGAGTATGATGGCAGAAGCTCCCATGAGGCACCTGGAGAAACTGGTGCTGAAACAAGACACTTAAGATCATAGGCTACTGCGGAGGTAGAAATGAATGAATGAATGAATGAATGAATTGATGAAATAAATAAATAAATGAATGGATGAAGGGTTGAACAAATAAAAAGGGTAATGTTATATAGGGATTGAAAGAATTTACAAATGAATAAATGGTTGAAAGGGCTACTTATATAGATGCAGTATATGATACTAAAAAGTGGAAATTCGGTTTCAATAAGTGGATGGATATGGATGGAAGGGTGGGTGGGTTGTTGAACATTTTGGAGTTGCTTCAGAATCTGAAATCTTTTTTTTTTGTTGAAAATCAGTAGCGGGCGAAAATTAGAGAAATAACTAATTAAATTGGTTTGGCCCTACCCACTCAGACTTTCTGACACTGCCCTGCAAAGCCAGTCTGGCACAGATAAGAACAGTTTTCACTGGCTTCAAGGTCGAGAATTTTATGGGAGTTGGGCACATAAACTACAGCCAATATGGTAAATTGTTAGACTGATGTCCTGTTTGCAAAATGTCTCTGGGTATTTATTTTCTTGTATGTGAACATGTCCTTTGTCTTTATTCTTTGAAATTACAATAAAGATTATTTGGAAAAAAAAAACTACAGCCAGGAAGTGGAGATGTGTCTGGTACAAGTTAGCCGCCTCTAATTTGGAGGCAGGGATCAGGAGGGGAACATCTTGTTCCGAATTAGCAGCTGGCAATTAAGAGTTGCCTGTGTTTTATCATGGAGAAGGAATCATTATATACGAAACAGAAATATAACTTTATTGGCATTTATCCTTGTCTAGCATTTTGACAGGAACGTTAACGCAATTGCAGAAACACAGGCTGGAAAAGAACAATTTGAAAACGTTTTGAGAAAGACCAAATGTTTGGCGACAGACTAATATGGATATAATAATTGTTTATTGCAAATTCTTGCCCGAGGGCTAATTGCAGGAACAGAAGAAACATATATGGTATAAAAACAGACAATTAGTACATATAGAACTACTGATAACTACTAAGAAACTACTGGTAAAAACTACTGGGTTTGACTTCTTTTTTGAAGACAGAGGAAGACAAAGGATCCCACTTTTTTTTGTAATATGTGGGTTTTCGGATGTTAAGAGGAGAGTAGTTTTCTTTTCATTTGTATATGTGTGAAAGTTTGGGTAGAATTTGGAGGCTACGTCAAAGAGTTCATTTCGTTCATTGCTACAGAGGGTACAATTTGATATAAAACAAGACAAAGCAATGCCATTGTGTTCTTTCAACAGTCTGATTACTAGTAATCTCAGGTTCATGGTAACATGATTAATCTCAGGTTCATGGTTTAGTTTTTTAACAAAGGTTTGGAGTTGTATATGTACATATGGCTTTCATCAGTCTCATATGTTTAGACTTTTAGCTGTAAGCAGAAGCTAAGGTGTGCTGCTATATGTTATTAAATGCCATATACGTAATGTTTATTAAATGTCATATAGAGCTTTATTTATCTTTTGGTAAAAAGTTTCTACCTAACTTTTATGAAGAGCTATTATATTTACTTTTAGTTCTGATGTCTCAGTTTAATGTTAACTTATACATGGAAAATGTGCATTTTTGAACGGGTTTAAAATATATTTGCTATAATTAAAGTGAATCACTTGCTTTCATGAATGCGTTTTAATGTGTCAAAGCAGTTACCATAAGGGCAGCAAATTCAATGCCTTGGTTTTTGGATGCATCTATCTCAAGCTCTCCTGTATCTGTTTCCCTTTACACACTTAACGTTATGTTTTTCTCGTTCCCAATATACAACTCATTTAGTCTCTTCAGAAAGAAATATGCATCAGAGATTATTCATCAGTGTGTTAATTTTTATTATTCCAACATTCAAACACACTCGTGATGTGTCATATTATGGCACCTCCGCTTCAGGAATGGCACTTATTTGCAAAGGAGCAGCGTCGATTCAACTTAATTTGTAAAGAACCTACCAGAAAATTGAAATTAACATCCTAATGTTACATACTGCCCCTTTAAAGTCACTCTATGTAGTTTTTTGACAATACAAAAAGTATATTTTTTATTCTTTTCTTTACATAGTACATTGGCTTAACCCATTAGTATTCCAAAATTATACTCCACAGCAAAAAATACAACATCCTTGCTCCTTAGAAGCTTAGAAAACTGTGAATGATCTTCTATTCAACCTCTGGCCAAACCACACATATGGTATTGTCCACTCCCAGTGGTTTGACCTACATCCCAGTGGGGTGTCAGTTGATAGCTTACCAGTTTCTGAAATACCTAATCGTTTACCAGATTTTTTATCTCTTTTGAAGGGATAATGACCACAGTTTATTCATGCCCAACAAAATACTCTAAGTTGATAATTATATTCCACCTCATGTGAAAGATATGAGTTTTTTCTAAGGAGGGTATATCTTGTGACATCTGCCCCTGTCTATCAAGCCTGGCATGCCCAGGCCAATTAGCCACACCAGGGGGCAACCCCTGTATGTTGTTGTTGTTGTTCTGAGCAAACCGGTGGCACCGGGAACTGAAGAAGGACTGTTTGAACGGACAAAATATACGAAAAAATGTGAAATAATGACACAAATGTGTTAAAAAGTGATAGTAACTGCTGATAACACCGAAATTTAGTATAATTAGAATATTTCAATTTTTTGCGCAAAAAACTACATAGAGTGCCTTTAAGCTGACTCACGCAGTGCCTATGCGGTAAACATGTCTCAGCTTACAGTGTTCACTTGGCAATTTCTACATGTAACGTTGAGTCGTCCTCACATCCGGATGTCTGAAACTAGGTTTCACGACTGTAGCCGGAGCCGCTTCCCAAACATGGCCGCATGGTTACTGGCCTGGAGCTGAAGCTAAAGGGAAAATGAATTAGAAGTTTTGATTAGCAAAGGGCTGCTTTTTAGTGATTTCTAAATTACTGTCTTCTTGTATGATTTCAGAATGTGAAATAGCATTCTCATCTAATTTGTCATTTCTTAAATGTTGGATAATTTTACTTACACCAACAATGTAGTGTTGAATACTAAATGTTGATGTTGTCTGGTATTAAGTACTTCTTTGCAAACATAAATGTTGGTATACTTTTTGCTGTTGTCAACTCGACATGTCTGCATTATTTCTGGAACACGACATCACCTTGTGAAATGATACGAACCTGATGTCAAGACTTGGCAGATGAACAGTCCCCTCTCATGCTCACAATCTGCGGTATACCACTGCTTGCTCGTGGGCCTGTACCAGGCGCAAGACTTTCTTTCACCGGGTGCCCACCGGTTGTAGCCGGTTCCGAGAGCGGTGCCGTCTATCCACTCCCACTCCTTGCCTTCCTGTCGGTGTAAGCCAAACCAATAGCTGTACTTGCTTGCTGGATCCACCAGGGAGGTGAGGAGGTCGTTGATACCGGCGTCGCGGGGCATGGCGAGGGTGCCACCGACAAACCGACAGGTCTCGGCCGATACGGAGAATGACCGAGAAACGTGGAATGCCCTGTAGCAGACTTCGCGATAGTTCTGGTAACCGTCTCGGCAGGTCTCTGAATAACACGGTAATATCTGCTCTTGAAAGATATACTACTTAGACTGTAGTCCATGTAAATTCTCATAAGTGTAACTTTGTTTTTGTCTTTTACGTGATCCATTTAACGTTTAAAACGCATCGCAACCTAAAGCTTCAGTTTTAACGTACAGTTTAATTAATGTTTAATTTAAAGAAAACTTCAGGTAGTTTTCGAAAATCACTTTAAAAATCATATTTTGAAATCCATGTATTCAATACATGTATTTAGAATACATAGGGCCTACCTGGGAGGCGGATCGAAGCACGCCCTTTCTCCGGTTTGTCTTGTTCATTCTTCATGTTGTCCTCCAGATTTTGCAGCATCTTCTCTTTCTCCAGCTCTGACTTGGTCAGTTTTGCGACGTTGTTCACAGCTTTCTCATTTTCCTCCAGCCGTCCCGGCACTTCCTTTGTCACTGCCTGTAAATCAAACGTCCCGCTTTACAATTATGGTTCGAGATCGGAGATGGATATTTCTTTGTAAGATCTGCGTTACTTAATTGACTGTGATAAGCCAGTCACCACACCAGTGGTAATATGTTATTTGATGACTTGGGATTGACTGTGAAACTTGCTAAAACATAGGTAGACATTTTTCTAACGCTCCAAGTTGCGTAAGTGTGTTTGTCTATGTTTTGGAATGTTTTCACGAGAAGAATTTCTTCTTACCTGCTGGCGATGAATCCATCCAGAGAGGTTTGCCTGGATTCCGGCTGTCTTCGTGTCCAGCTTGCTGACCGACAGCTTCAGATCCGACAGATCATCAGTTGTCTTCTTGTCGAGCTTGTTGAATGCCAGCTTCAGGCCCGACAGATCATCAGTTGTCTTCTTGTCGAGCTTGCAATTGTTTAATGCAAGCTTCAGGCCCGAGAGATCATCAGTTGTCTTCTGGTCGAGCTTGTTGACTGACAGCTTCAGGCCCTTCAGATCATCAGTTGCTTTCTGGTCGAGCCTGTTGAATGCAAGCTTCAGGTCTGACACTGTCACAGCTGTAAAAAGGCACAGGGACCGATAATAATGTTTAGCCAATAGGATCTGCACTAATCACCTCCAAGGAGCTAGCCCCATAAAGGTAATCAGTAAAGACCCTTTCGGTTTAGTATCAATTATTCTGTACCAATGAGTTAGAAAAAAAAGCATTGCTCATTTACCCAGAAAGATGGTAACTCCCAGCAGACAGCAGATCAGTGCCATTGTCACCACAGCGTAGGTTTTCAACATGGCGCTGGTCCAGACTCGGGACTGACCAGGGCTCCCCAGACCGACCCCTGGGATGTACCCAGCGGTCTCAGCAGAGGCAGGTGTGGGGTCGGCGGCTTGGCGCTTGTTGTTAGACTTAGACCCGGACGAACCTGAAGAATGTAGTCAGTATCTTAAGGAAATACTGAGACGAACAGAGAAACGCAAAATACAGATCAAAACGTGAGGAAAACGTAGACCAATCGGGACAGATTTCTAACGTGCTGCACTATTATATTAGAGTCAACAAAATCAATGCATTGTTACCTCCATGAAATGTGTCATGGAGGTTATATTTTCAGTTGCGTTTATCTGTCCGTCCGTCCGTCCGTCTGTCTGTTGGTCAACAAGATAACTCAAGAACGCCTGGATGGATGGGTTTCATACTTGGTGTGTTGGTAGGGTGTGACGAAAACTGGAAATGATGAGATTTTGGTCCCCCTAGTGGCTTCCCTTGGTACTGCAGCGCAACTTCCGGTTTTGATATCTCGCGATCTGGACATGCTAGGGTCATGAAATTTTGATGGAAGGTAGCTCTCGTGCTTGGGAAGAAGTCATATGAGTTTGGGCCCCCTAGCGGCTTGTTCTGGAACTGCAGGGCACTTTCTGGTGAAATGTTTAAAAGCCAATAAGTCCAGACAGGAACAACATATTTTCATTATTTTTGGTGTGTTGGTAGCTGAGAGAGAGATGTACATAATTAAATGCAAATTATGCAAATGAGGACTGTATTTGCATAATTAATGAGGAAATTCTATAATTACAGTGTTTTACATTATCTCGCGATCTGGAAATGCTAGGGTCATGAAATTTTCATGGAAGGTAGCTCTCGTGCTTGGAAAGAAGTCATATGAGTTTGGGCCCCCTAGCGGCTTGTTCTGGAACTGCAGGGCACTTTCTGGCGAAATGTTTAAAAGCCAATAAGTCCAGACAGGAACAACATATTTTCATTATTTTTGGTGTGTAGGTAGCTGAGAGAGAGATGTACATAATTAAATGTAAATTATGCAAATGAGGACTTTATTTGCATAATTAATGAGGAAATTCTATAATTACAGTGTTTTACATTATACTATGTAACCTATGGCAGGCGGAACTTCAACAGATACAAATTATGCAAATGATGACCTAATTTGCATAATTAATGTGAAAATTCTATGATTTCGTAATGGTGAATGATGAGAATGTCATACTTGGGACATCTGTAAGTTAATCAAAAGTTAACATACATCACGATGCATATATCATGTTAATGCAGAGGTCATTTGAACAATTAAAGAAGAAATTTACATTTACATATCAAGATCATATTTCAT